AAAAAAAAAAAAAAAAAAAAATAGAAATAAAAGTGCAGTTTTAAGGGAAAACTTGCTTGATACTCCTTCCTCAGCCTCTCGAGAGCTGGGATTGTAAGTGTGTACTACTGTGCCTGGCAGTTACTCTCATTTTATTTTATTTATCTTTTTTGTGTGCGTGTGTGTGTGTGTGGTACCGGGGATTGAACTCAGGACCTTATGCTTGCCGGGCAAACGCTTGTTCTACTGAGCCATCTCCCCAGCCCTACTCTTACTTTATAAACATCTTTGAGTTACATTTAATTTGATTCAGATTGAGTTTAAGCAGAAAAGATGCTGAAAGAAAAAGTTTGCTAATGAATTTTAGAGATGGCGGCTTTGTTCTTATATCAGTAGTATCTTTAAGTACTGATGTAGTCTTGTTTAGAAATGCTAGGGGAAAAGCCCTCTGAATTTCATTCATTTTTTTTAACTTTAAAGTAGTTGCTCAGGATACACGATATGGACATAAGCATTTATCCAGTCTGTATTACCCTTCCTTTGCAGTGAACTAAGGGATACTAATCATATAACTGGCTTGCATTTTTTTTTTCCTTTTCGCTACTGTCCTTTCCTCTTTCACCCGTCCTAGTTCCTTTTTCCTTCAAAATAATTTCTTCCCATTTCACAATATCTGTTGTACATTTTAGACTTTATTTACTCTTTCAGTTTCTCACACTAGGGATGCTTACACACGAATCTGATTCACTTCACTTATGAATATGGTCTCAAGTTGGCATCCATTTACCTATAAAAGCCTCAGGTTTATCCTATTTTATGGCTTCATTGCCTAAAATACGCCACATCTTTTTCATCCATTCCTCGGTTGATGGGCTCTGAATTTCATTTAGAAACATTTTTATCCTTATTTACGAGAATTGTGGGACACTTACCCCAACTTTTATGTCACACCCTCTTGTTACCATGGGCAGTGGTTGTGAAACATGTGTTGTTTTAAGACAAAAGATGTTAATGTATGAGTTGCTTTTTCTAAACCCAAACCTCAGTAGTCAGGTTTAACTGCAGTGTTGGCACTTTGTGATAAATAACTGTGCTTTGGGTTGCAGTTTGGGTGCTCATCCCTGAAAGGTACGCCATCACTGCCTGCCATAGGGGCTGCCTGAATAAATCTGGGGGTGAAAATGGCTTGAGGAAAGTTCTTAGGAATTTATTGCTGCTGTTTTTGGAAGGAGGGATTTAATGAGGAGGAACAAAAGCAAAACAGTCTTTAATAACATAAAATATGGAAAGTGAAATTTCCTAGTAATCCCATCTATAGACACTTAACATTCATTCATTCATTCCTTCTGATACTTTTTTGGCCCACACTACATTGATCAACATATTAATAATTATTTGGTATGTGAGCCTTCAGATTTTAAAAAATGTGTTAGCTTAGTTTATTTATTTTGAAAAATAGGGTCCTGCATTGCATACTGTATTTTATTCCCCAGCCTACTGGCAGGGCACTGTTTGGTTTTGGTTTTTTGGAGCCGGGGTTTCCGTATGTAGTTGAGATTGGCTTTGAACTCACTGTAGAACCCAGGCTGGCCTCGAACCCATGGTGATCCTCTTGCCTCAACCACGCAAGTGCTGGAACTGCAGGTGTGCACCCCCATGCCCGGCTGCACCAGTCTGCTTTGAATCACACTGGGCAAGTACTCTGTGTTCACGGTCAAGTGGGAGGACTTTGCTTTAAAGGAAGGTTTCAGTGGCAGGCTTAAAAATGTTAAAACTCACATAAATTTTAAATTAAGCAAGGGACAAAACTTACTTGAGATAGTTGGCTATTTTGAAATGCAACTATTTTCTAATTTAGGATGTTAATTTGGGATTGCAACAGTTTGCTAATGAGGGTAAGTGAAAAAAAAAAAAGACTGTTGGGTTAGGAGCCAAGGGGAAGAAAGTGGAGAACTGGAGCCTGTGTGAGGAAGGAGGAAATGCAGAACCAGAGGTGGAAGCAGGAAAGTGCACACATGGAAGACGAAGTCTCATGTTTTTCCTTTTAGTGTAGTAATTAAAAAAAAAAATTCCAAGCACCGTAAATGAGTTTTTCTTCACCTGTTTTCTGAATGTTGACATTTTAGTGAACTTTATCATTCTCTTTATTTTTTATTCATTCTCTTTGAATTTAGAAAATTAAATTTGTAAAATGGAATATTTGTTAGTTGCAAATATTTCTTGCCCTAATTTGGGAAACAAACTGTTACGTAATGATACCCAGATTTTATGTTTGTCTTACTAAGATCCTGAGTGTGGTGCAGGTCACATGATTCATTTTCCAGTCCTTGAATTTGGAGTTTTTAATCATCTAGGGGTGTGTGTGTGTGTGTGTGTGTGTGTGTGTGTGTATGTGTGTGCGCGCGTGCTTTTGCATGCGTGCGTGTGCATGTGTGTGTGTGTGTATTTTAAAAACAGGATCTTGCTACATAGTCTGGCTGGACTTGAACTCACTACGTAGCTTCGGCTGACCTCGAACTCAAGATGATCCTCCAGTCACTGCCTGCTGAGTGCTGGGGTTACCCTTGGGCCATGTGCCTACTTGACTTAGGCATCTTTAGGAGTTCAGAGCTGGCTATAGTGGCCTGTGCCTGTAATCCTAGCAGTTGGGAGGCTGAAGCAAGAAGATTGAAAGCTAAGACCAGACTGCGTTAACTATGAGATCCTTTCTCAGAAAAAGAAAAAGGGAAAAAAAAAAAACAAAACAACTCAAGCCAATTATTTGGTAGAATGCCCCTCAGTTTGAGTTTGTCACAGGACTGCCACAGAAGAGATGTTGTTCCCTTGGTGCAGCCCAGGATGAGCACAATTGTTGGTTTGATTCATTTCTGGTGCGTTAGCCTTGATCGTTTGAAATAAGATAATGTCCATCAGATTTCTCCAGCAGGAACTCACTGCTTTTTCCTTTGTAGGTTTTTGTTGTTATTGTTTTTGGTCTTTTTGAGACAGGGTTTTACCATGTAGTTCAGGCTGGCCAAGAACTCACTTTGTAGCCCAGGCTGGCCTCAGCCTTGCATTGATCCTCCTGCCTCAGTCACCTGATGCTGGGATTACAGGTGTGCGCCACCATATGCAGCTCTGTAGTTAATTTCTTGTAGGTAGATACTTGAGATTGTATTTGTAACCTATTTCTCATTCTTGCAGTGATCTTCCTGCCTCAGTCTCCCAAGTGCTGGGATTATAGGCATGTAGCAGTCACATAAATCACTTAAAATCCTTGTAAGGAAGATTTGTCCCTTTGTCTGTCTGTCACTCTGTCACTTAATCATTTATACTACTAAAGAGCCGTGCATACTTATTTTATACGTTGGGTTATATTCCAGTGCTGTGCTGCTTATCTTTTTGTTCGAATTGTCATAGCTTTGGCCACTGGGAGCTTCTTCAGTTGACTCCTCTGAACTCTAAATTTTCCTTTTGTTTTTGAGCATTTCCTTGCTTGCTGGCACTGCAGAATGCCCTAGGCTCATCTTACATTGTCCATACCATAACCCTAGAATCAGTCAAGTTTTCTAAGGAGTTTAGAAACCAAGGCCGGGGCTCGGTATGCTCATTGCCACTGGGCACCACTGTTTGTAGGCCCTCCCAGCAGAGAGAGTGACAGGGCATGCCTGCGTGCTCTGCATGTGCGCGTGTATGAAGGAGTTATCTCTGTTTCTGGATCTGTCTGTATACATATTAAACATGAGTTCATCCAGTACCATAGGGTCTATTCTGGCCTCTCCTGGTGCTTTTCCAGTTTTTTTTCTCTAGTAAGGAGAAACCTCACCCAACTCTGCAACATGTATACTCATTTCTTCAGCTCTGGTCTACATGTAAAGTAGTTTCAAGATTGCTAACCAGTACTCCTG